GACCCACTTTCGAAAGGCAAATTCCCAAAACACGCAGCAACTGTAAAATTCTGACAGCTCAGTTAGCTGATTTAAAGTCACCTGGACCGCAGGCAATAAAATGCAAAAGGCGTCATCCCCTCCACCAGACAGTCAGCAAGATTAATTATCGCATTAATTAACTGACCTGAAAAAACGAAAGTTTTCGCCACAAAAATTACTCATAAGCAGGAACCAGGATTAATTCGATGACAATATGACATTTCATGTTTGTCATAGAATACATAGGCCTAAAATAGAACCATTTTCGAAGAATTTCATAAAAATTATAGTCGTTTTTAAAACTGACTCACCAAGAAGCTATGTCAGCCAATTTCCGTTGGTCATTGTCGCTGATCCGTTCCAGGACATCGTAAAACATCGGGCAATGCCAAATACATCAATTGACTTTATGGCTAGAAAATACCTTAAGGGATAGACTGATGCTGATGCCTTTTGGTACGGGGCTCACAATTAAAAGTTAATAGCCAAGCGACACGGTTAATCAGCGAGAAAATTGCACGGACCCACGACAGAAGCCGAACAGGAATTGGTCGAATGCAATGGAACAATGCCTGCCGGCCACAAATATTAATCATGTGAGCACTTAATTTGACACTTGGCCATAATGGAAAGCACTCGTACTGAGGCCAGACTTCGGCCTAGTGGATCGGGAGGGCACTGTAGCTGGAGTTGGAGCAGGAGCTGGAGCCGGAGACCCGTCACTAATCACCAACGGGAACAACTTTAAAGTGGCCTGTCTGTGACCGTGTCTTATTCTCTTCCACCAACAGCAACACCAGCAACATCGGCAACAGCAACTGCCACCTGCCTTACGCAATTAAGCCAAAGACAGCGCTGGACAGAGACACTAGAAAAAAATTATTTTATAATTAAAATATTTATGATTAAATATAATAAGAGGTATGGAGCTTATCACTCACTTGATAGTCCAGACCATATAAGTCATACCTATTAGAGGAGTATTGTTTTCAGTGTAGAGACGCACTCGCCAGGCAAAAGGTTCACTCTGGGTCCCCACAGTAATTACTCAATGCCCCGAACCCGAGCCCGAACTGGTTCTTCTGTTCTGCGTGTGTAAGTCAAGTAGCTCGGCTCAGCCAGATTACAGAAGGCATGCGGACAAAAAACTGAATATATATCTGAAACTCACAAAGAAGAAACGATCAGAGCTTTTTCTTTGGCCACGAGAACCCTTTCAGTAATAACTTCACCCTGGAGAGGGGGTGGACTGGGTTCGAGGCTCTGATAAATATTTATGTGTCATTAGTCGGATGCCCGGGCAGTCATCAGGTGGATGCATTGAAATGCCTCTTTCGTGTTTTCACAGTCGATGTTCTCGAGTTATTTATTACGCAAACGGTAGCCCAGGACAAGATCTGAAATGATCTTAACGAGGTTTTTTTAAATTTTAGCTTAACACAAGAGGTATTATTTATGTAACTAATAAAGAAACTGAAAGGGAAATGTTTCTGCATATCTCGAAGTACCATCTGCCCCACCTGCTGTGGCGAAATGTCGGGACCAACGGATTGATTCCCTGCCAAGACATATGCCAAATCGATAACCCAAAAATGGACCTGGTCCTAGGATGGCAACACGAGTGGATGGCCTGCCTCAAGTGGGCATTTGAGTGGCACGGACCAACCGAAACAGAAACCGGGAGACGACGCCGTCTCATGTGTCACAGGCCCGTCCCCGGCTCCAGGCCCGGCAAAGTGAGAGGATGACACATGCCTCCGGATTGTTAAGTACGCTTAGGGCAGATTAACTTAACTGTGCATAAAATGCAGCACACTCCAAACAAAAAGATCTGAAAAAGGGAAAAAAATAGAGAAAAGTGCAGGAATGTCGCCGCGAGACTGTGAAACAAAAGTAAGAACTGTCCAAGTATGCTGGAGTGGCTGTCAGGGGAAATATCGCTGGAATGTGTAAAAAGTCATGCATAAAATTAGTTTCAACTTGGGTGACGATTCCCGCTGCTTCCAGTCCTCTCATCCGTCCTGATTTATTTTCAACAAATGCATTTTTAACACTTGGGCAACACGTGCGTTCCAGGAATATTTTGCCTCTCAAGTGCACGCCTCTAATTCCCTTTCCAAACTGTTGGCGTTTGTAGTTAAAAAACCATAAAAAGTATTCTTGTATTGGAAAATTTTGATAAATATGACAAGTTCAAGAGGCATGAAATATAATACAAGAACTATTTGGCTAAAAAAAATCAAATAAAATCGCATAGAAAGAATAAACTACGACTCTCCAAAATATTCGCAAGTAAAAGACCTCCTAATGAATACTTCCCATACAATTACTTATGGGTTCCACCTGATTGATTTTCCTAATTAATAATACAACGAATATGATTTCCCACGCCGAGTCCAGAAACTATATAAATAATCTAAATGTGTTTACAAGTTCTTCAAGAAACTTCAGCATAAATTTCAGAATCACTCAAGCTCGACCAAAGCGCAATGATGCAAAACGCAGACTTCGGGTCTTCATGATTTTTATTAAAGACATTATAAAATTTTCTTTTGAAATCATATATTTTGAAGAATCCTTAAGTTTGTGGTTAAACACACCCAAAATCCCTTAAGAATCCCAAAAGTAACCTGCACCTGCGCACTCAGCCATGGCAGTGGGCAAATTAATTTGTTTGATGTGCACTTCTTTTTTATATATTCTTTTCGCTTTTTATATTTCAAGACTGAAGAGCCAAGACCCCTGTCATGTGCATTCGATTGTTAAATGAGAATAATACCCACCAACTTACAAGCGTTTTCACGCCATTCTGAGCACTTGCGGAGGAGTTGGGAACCCCATTATTCTACATCTCCAAGAATTAGGGGCCGCCGCCGCACCCAACTGAGGCTTGATCGTTTTGTTTATTTAAGAAAATGTGGAAAAATCAGCAATGTGTGAGAATTAAATTGTTTAACAAATTGTACAAATATCATTGATTGAGAGTTGTGGGAGGGTTCGGGACTTCAATCTATGAGAACTTGGGTTCAAACTGTCCTAGCTTCCGGTAATTAAAATCAAGAAGAATATGTGAACAACTTTTATTTTCTTGACTAACATATAGCAGTATTTCTTTTTTTGGGAATTAACCACAGAATTGGATTTTATAATAAAGGAGAACCAGTCTCCAAAAATACGTGCTTGACCTATATAGCCGACTTTCCCTTTTTTTTTGGGTTTTTGTTAATCACAGAACCGCAAAAATATGGCAAGCTCCTCCAGGTGGATATTCAAGTGATTAACACCCGAGGGATTCGGTGATCATTAAGCAATACATAATCCAATTAACACTCAGGCGGCGGGACAGGGACAGGGCGAGGCAGGATACTCTCCACCTGTTGGCGAGGCAAACAAAAGGATTCAATATTTTGTTGAATCAACGAACCAGAAACATTTCGATGACGATGAACCTGCTAAGAACTTAAACAAACAAGTGATCTCGATCTCTGTTTTGAGTAGGAAGGTTGGGCGGGGGTGACATGGATCGCCAACATTTACTTTTACTCTCAATTGTTGTCTGCCTTTGGTCCTTTTCTGATATCTGATCCGATCTCCTTTGAGATAAAAGAAATGCCAATTCTACTTAGAAAATGACACGCAAATGGCAAAAAAAAAAATGAAGAAGGAACCGTATAGAAAATGGAAACCCAAAATGGGATGGAGATGGGGAAAAGGGTCCCGGGGATTATCCCCGACCGAGTCCTCATCAATATGTCTGCAATTAAGTTGGGCACGAATTCGTTATTAGGGGTCAGGCAATTGATAGCGATGCTCGGCATTCGGCGCACAAATTGCGTGAGGCACAAAAGCAACAACCGTGATCATTACACGAACAGGATAACCTGTACAGGTCGCTCCGATTCCCCTTCTCCAGTCTCCTATGCAGATTGAGTGGATCAGATCGGAGGAGGAGGAGCTCAGCCGAATTGATCTCCCTCACATAATGGCTGCATATGCATGAATTGGGCTCTGATTGTTACACTGAGATACCATTCTTTCAAAAAAGAATATTTCTTCTAAAATACATAAAAGAATTTTAAGCGCCCTAGTAGTCGCAGTTTTTTGCAGTGCCGTCCTAGTTCGATACAGTGTACACAAATAAAAAGGGAAAATCGCTTACCAAACGTGGAGCATCTGCAGGTCGATGGATGGAGAGGGGCAGCTCTTAACCCTGTGCTGTCATTGTCATTGAACGGCTGACAGTTGCACGAATGTAATTGGCAGTAGGCGCGAATGCAGAACGCATGAAAAATAGAGGCGTGTGAAAATGATCCACTGCGATCGCATCGACATCGCTTACCCCGATCCCAATAACGTGAGAATTTCCATTTAAATCTGCTGAACAAAACTAGTGTTAGGGCTCCGGTCTTTGGGGTGATCAGCGCTGCGTAAAATTTGATTAGATCGAGTATACATTGTTAAATGATTGATGAAAGGTGCAATTTTCTTGAAAGGGTTAAGCTTACCATTTCTGTTACAAAATTAGCGTAGTTTTCCATTGGCAATTGTATTTATACAAAGCTAAAAGAAACTTAATTCTGGGGAACCACACAAGCTGAGAAATAAAGCTAAAGGTGTGTCCACACTCTTATCCTAAGGTAGAGGATAACCGATAACACACATACCCGTTTGAAACATTGAAAATGAAACACTTATTTTTGAAAACAAAATTTATTAATAAATTTTTGTTAAATCTAAGCAAGCGTTTAATGTTGTGACAAAAGCATATTAAAATATCCATATTCATTCTGCGTATAAAACATTAGAAGAAGGAATATAATTTTAGTATTAATTTTAGTATATTATTAAAAACCAATTCATTTCCGGTGCAATCGATATTTTAGCTAGGACTCCGCGTGGCATCTTCCATCTCTAAAAGCCAGCATTACTGAAGAGCTTTGTTTCATTGGCGTTTCTGGACCTTTATATTGGAGGAAATTTTTGATTACTTAAAATGGAATCAAAATGTTCTATTTTGGACTTGCCGTTGGATGTTATGGTAATGATTTACAAGGAAATCGAAGACGAGAAGGATAAAATGAACTTGGTAAAGGCTCACAAGAGTTTTGGATTTGCCTTTGCCATGGACGCTGGAAACAAATACGAGAAAATCATGTTCGATGAACGGCCGATGCAGGAGTGGAAACTCATATTGCCGCTGTGTGGCAAGACCGTTACGCAAATCGTAACCAGAAAAGTGAAGACATCCGTGAAAGTGACCAAGCTGGCTGCCATGTTTTGTCCGAATTTGGAGGAGTATTACCTGCCCGTACGCAGTCACTTTTGGAACCACGTGTCTCCTTTGCTAGCGACCTTGGAGAATCTCAAGTGGATCGGACTAAGCAACAACTACGAACGGCTCAAGGTGGTGAAAACTTTGCGATTGCTTCCCAATCTTATATACTTGGATTTAATAAAGTTTCCCCTCAGAGATAGTGAGTGAAACTCTCTAATAATTCTATGCAACGAATTCAATTTATTTATTTCAGTGTTGGCCGTCAAGATGCTTGAAAATTTAGAATACATTAGGATAGTAAACTATCGTAACGAGTTTGTCAATCTCTACCAAATGTGTTCGGGTATGAAAAATCTACATAGTTTAAGTGTATCGTACGTAAAAATACGTTTCCCCAGGGATACCTACGAAGTGTGGCCCCAAATGAGATTTATTAAAATTGGTTTCGGGAAATTTTACACCCAACTACCCTTTATGCCCTCATTAAAGTATCTAGAAATAGAATATACCAATCCTACCACCAAATTGAACCAAATATTTGGTACTTCTATCTTTAAATACGCAAATACTTTGCAAAAACTTCGATTTTGTTCTGAAACCATTCGGGATCTTGATGAGTCTGAGGTGAAGGCGATTTCCCACCTTAAGGCTTTGCGAAAATTAGCATGTCACTTAGATGACGGTCACATCGTATCATACATATCTCGATTGAAACAACTGGAATCCGTAAATCTTCAATATTCGAACAGGCTAACCAATGACGGGGTATGTGTCTTATTAAGCGAATGTGTAAAGATTCGGAAGCTGAATCTGTACGCTTGCCCCTCTATAAACCGATTACTGATTGGATTACTGATCAGGTTGGGTCACGATGTTGAGCCCGATAACCCTTTATTCCTTCGATTTAGTCGAGGATTCTTAGCGGGAACTGTGGGTAGTGCTTAATGAACTCCTGCTTAATCCATGGCTTAAACGTGTTTAAGACTAAACTTTTACATTTCGGCTATCATAAAAGTTTTACTAAGGTTTCTTATTGTTTTTAAGTTTTAAAAGTAATCACGTGTCAGGCATATACCCTAAAATTGTACTAGTGATTTATCTTGTGAAGTAACTTATTTTGAATAATCAATTCGAATAACAATATTTTTTTAAAGATTATAAAAGCTCAAGAAGTAACGCTTTACAAATAATATTATTAAAATGATCATTTACAGCTTACAGGATAGCTATTACCATATATTTTATTTTTGACTTTGGAAGTATTACCATACGATTTTTTGTAATAAATTAGTATATAAGAAAACAAAAATTTAAATCTTATCAAAATTATATTATTTCAAAAATTGATTTAAGAAGAACAATGTATGCTTATTTTGTCACTTAAAAATACATTTAGAATGATTATGCATCAAAATGCATCCTGATTAATAATTTTTTTTAGCCGTCTTTGGGCTCATCTTTTGGGCCTCTGACTTGGCCAAAAATAGCCAGAATGGTCGGGACAAGAGCCAAGCATGCAGCACTGGCCAGAAAATAAAAGAGATCGTCAGAGGAAGGGGCAAGATAACTCAGGCCAGACACGCCAGACACTCTGGCGACGCCTTGTGAAATTTTTCTTCGTCTTCGGAGAGTTCACAATAATAAAGAAAATAAATATAACAAAAAGAATGAAAAAACTACAGCCCAGAAATACACACACGCTTGCGTCAAAAGGGAACCAGAAGACGTACATACAACAAAATAAGACCATAAATGCATTTTAACAAAAGGCAAACCAAGAAGAGCCAATGAACCTAAAAAGCAAAAAAAAAAGAAATGAAATTTTTTTTTAACGAAAACCAACAGAAAAAATAAAGAACCAAAGCCCCAAACCAAAGACCATAAATAAGCCGACTTCGGCTTCGTTGCGCATGCGCCGTAGCATTTCTGGCTGCACTTCAACTTGAGTCTCTGTCTGTCTCCAGCTTCTTCCACGTCTGCTCCGCGGAGCCCCTATCTCTCTTCTCGCCATCTGGATGTAGAGCCTCTTTGGTTAACTCTGATTTTTTTTCTGGAACAAAGGGAATACGAAGTTGGTGTATAAATTTAGTTTAATTATTGAGTTTTAAGCATAAAAATATATTTTGTTTTTAAACACAAAGTCTCTTTACTAGATCCATTATTTAAATATTTTTCAGTTTTATTCAAAACCAAATTAAAGAGACTTAATAAGTCGTTTTAGATAACTTCCTTTAACACCTCTACTGTGCAGTCAGTCGATTTATGCCAATGGAATTTCTACAGTTCGGACACACTTTTCTAGTGCAATTTTTCACTAATGATGACTAATTCACTTGCTGGTGGGCCCGAATGATTCACGCATTTGCCGAAAGGTGCGAAATGCCAAACACAGGTGGCCGCCCTCTAGAAAATACAACGAATAACTTGCAGCTGGTGTCAGTGGTCCATGTAAACATTATTCTGCTGTCACCAAACATTAATCTTATTTTTTACGTGACATGCTGGTCGAATTACAATCAAAATCCAATTATATGTTATCAGTAAACGATCTGAGAGCAAGTCAAAGTTCAAGTTGAATATTTAGAAATTCAAGAGGAGGAAATGATTTTCTAGCCTGAGGCGCAGTTTCAGCTGTTAATTTGAAAATTAGATAATTGGCCTGGAGAGAGACTCGAGTCTCGGAGGCTGAAAAACGAAGCCCATAGAAAACACTTGACCTAATTCGATGCCAGAAGCCCCCTTAAGCCACAGAAACACCACACTTGAGCATTTGAAACTTTCGAAGGGGATATTGGAGACTTTTTATAAAAGTATTTAAGTTTAATAAGCCTTAAAAAATACATTGAAATCTTTATTATATACTGCATACCCCAAAGATCCTTTTCTCTTGTAATAATTACAAACAACTGGTATTTTTAATCCATATCTCCAATGCACTTGCTGATCCAGTACAATCCCAAATTATATAGCAGCAGCCAGTAGCGACAAGTGGAACTTTTGCATAACAATTTAATTAAAGTTTGCAGAAATCCAAGGCGTAGTAGAAAAAAAGAAACCTAGCCGAAAAGCCGCGAAAACTTAAAACGTAAAATGCAATCATAAAGGCCAGGATCTCAACAGGCAGCCAAAGCAACAACTTGTTTTGCAAAATTAATAAACTATAATTAAGCATGGGGCGGTTTATAAAGCTATATATTGAAAAAAAAATATTAAAAAGTATTTCTAAATTAAGTAAATAGTTGGGGGAAAAAAGGGTATTGTACTTGACCTGAATCCTAAAAACATATTTAGCTTTAAAGCCATACATCATGAACTTAAATGATGTCGAAACAACTAACCGGTCGATATCCACGAGTTTGGCCAGTTTTGGGCTGCATTCACGCATTGTCTTTGCTCAAGTGGAAGCCGCCAGGCTGTCTAAGACCAGTAGTAGGCCAACCCACTGTCTAACCAACCAGCCAACCAACCATCCAGCCAGGCCAGCAATACAAAACCAAACCCAGTCGAAACCAGGGCCCAAAGCAGTTGACTTTTTGGTGTATGTTGCAAACAGATCCTCGCCATAATTGGAAGCAGTCGCGCGGAACTTGTTGAGCTGAAGTGAGTAGCAGTAACAAATTATATTTTCACTGAAAAAAAATCATGAATTAAGAGGTTTTTCTGTTTTCAGTATCTTAAACTCATTTACTTATTTTATACATTCGATAGTTCATTACACTAAGAGGCTTGTAAGTTTTTAATAAAATAGTGATACTATTATTCTTAGATCTTTTCTTTTCCTTCAGTGATACCCAGTCTTCTCCTCATTGGCTTCTGGTTTCTATTGACCCAGTCGATCAGTCAGTTACTAAGTCAAGTTACTGGGAATGTAAATATGGCAAGTGGATTGGTCTGCTCTCCATGGAGTGGAGAGGATCACTTTTACTTTTGCCCGGCAGATTGCTGGCCACCTTTGGTATTCTTGTTAATGCGACAGGTTGCCAATCGCTTGGTATTCCCATTCCCTCCCTCCTCCTGAGGTGTTCTTATTGGCCTGGCCAATTGACACCTGGATGTTAATGGCCCACTGGAACGGTGAGCATAGCTTGGCTTAATGCTTAAATCATGTCTGAGAAAATTATCTTTGCAGTTAAATGATAAAACGCATACAAAAAGCCATCCGAACATCCTACACAATACGGGTATATCGAATTAATCGAAATGATCTTTTGACTTTCCTTAAAAGGTTAAATACAAGCTGTGCGACAAAATGCTTACGATTGAGGCACAAAGACAAAAGGTGACCATTGTTTCTTATTTTTAAACTGATGGCATTGTTAGGTTTTTGCTTTATCCACATTTTAGTTTCCAACAGTTGAAGAGGAGTTATTAAACGTATACTATTTTATGGATATTTCTGGATTTGTAACATTACGCAGGAAGATCCTTGTCTTGAATCTTTACAAATGTTTTTCTTCCTATCGCTATCTTTCCTGATCTGTATTTCCACCCTCAAATCTCGAAAACTACCACTTCTGTGATCCTAATCCGGTTTAACTTCCCTCTCATTAGCCCTGGGTCACACCTGAGTGAGTCTTTTACTGAAATTTCAGTTTGCAGGTGTTCGAATCGCCAATGAATCATAACTCTGACCCGCTTGGTTTTTTTTTGGTAGCAGAGACAGATCGTAAAACTAGCTCCAGTCCAAAGAGATCATTTTATGGAGATATTAAAAAAGTTAAGAGACAAAGAAATGCCTATAAAGGGGAGCTGCGAATCCACCAACTATCAAAATAGGTGACAATCGAGGGATGTGAGGACAATGATGAGTCGTAAAACCGAAGACAGCGTGATAAATGCACTGGCCGTGGAACCAGAAATTAACATGAGATTGTGAGACAAGACACGATCGCAGTCAGTCCGTAATTGTCGGTTAGGGAGCGAAAAACTGCCCTCGGTTTCTTAGCCCCAGGTCCCTGTCCTCTGGCCCTTTCCCATTATTATTTTCCCTCGTTACAAAGGTTCCCTGCACTTGTGCCCAGCACACTCTGCAAGTGTGTCTCCGGGTTCACTGAGCCCAAAAACCATACGAACTGATCTGAGCTCAGCTACATGATCCCTTTTTCTAGGGTCTTTGTTTTTACAGAGCGATAAGACCAACCAATCGAAATGTGACCCCATAGGTGCACTCTTGTTACCCTGGATAATTAGAATATTCCATGCATCGATTAGGAATAAATTTATTATTTATGAACTAAAAGGTCTGTAGTTTTATGAATGTTTGAGATTAATTTGTGATGAAAGTATGATTTTTACATTTATAGCATTTTTACGACAAAAGAACGCCTCAATTTTTTAGGTAATCCATGACTTCGTTCCCTATTTATTTTGCTAGTTTTCCAAAGATTTCCACCCATAACCCAGGCCTGTCCCTTTCAGTTTGTTTATTTGTTTGCTTGCTTGTTTGTTTGTTTGTTGGCGTAGGACTCGCGACGACGACCCTTTTGGCTAGCTGGCCCAAAGGTCCAACCCCTGCCTTTTACAAACCAGTACGATCCCCAGACCCTGACTGGCTGGCTGACTGACAAGTTTCACCTGTCCGTATTTGTCCATGGGGTGATCTATCATGGACTGGCCAGACAGACCTGTCCAGTGGCTGTTTTCCTTTCTTCTGTTTTTTTTTTTTGTGTTTGCCACAACTCTTGTATTCCTTCCTCCGAGCTGGGACTCTATTTCTTTTGCAGAGGGTTGACGTTTCTATTGCCCCGAAGATTGGCTGGAGGAACATTTGTTTGACTAGAGATAATGGGGCTGGCGCAAACACACACCATGTGCATATACAGACTGCGATGTGGTAATCTAATAGGTTTCCCCAAACATTTGCCAGTCCTGACCCCTGAATAAATCAAGCTAGATCATGGTCCTCTGACACTTGAAAAAAGGAACTTAGA